AAAGTTTAGGCAGTAAAACTTAAACCCATAGATTTTTGATGAGTTTAAAGAAAGTTTCAAGGAGAACAAATACAAATTAAATAAAAAAAAGTAATTCTAATTCAACTAACGAAAAGTAAGTTTGGTGAAGATGAGAACAACTACTATCACTCTTTCAAACCAGTTAAATAAAGTTACAAAAATAAAATATGGAAATTTTTTTAAAAAGTAGTTATAGACATACAAAAAAAAATACAGAAATAAATTGGGAACTTGTATATGCTAAAAGAAAATTTCTTTTTTATAGAATAGTATAAGAACAGAAATATATATACTAGATTTTAACTCACGTCAAGCGTGAGATTAAATTATTAAATATATTTTTTAGTCGATTTTAATATTAAACGTGTATGATCAAACATATGATTTCTAATATTTATAAACGTACAAAATGAGATGCATTGTACATAAATGTAATAAAATTAAATTTTGATCAACCATATTTTGATACCTTTAGTTTTAATATTTTTATCTGCAAAATTGATTAAAAATTTGCAAATGTTATTTATTTAAATAGATTTTAAATATAAAATTGATTTTTATTATTCATATAAATTATAGAGCATGCGATAAATCAGATAAATTTTAAATTTAAATGAATTTTTTGGACATACCATATGAAAAACAATATTTATTTTCAATAATGAAATGTGTAAATATTTGTAAGTGTACTTATATATATAATTGATTATCATAATTAAAATATTTGTATATATTATATTAATCTAAATACATATATACACAATAAATAATATTGTTACAAATATAATAAAAAGCTTCTTAATATATTAAAAAATGATATGGAAAATCTAAATATTACATTTAGTTGAGTTTAAATTTGTGAAACGTGTATTAATCTTATATTATAAAACTAATAAAAATATGTATAAATTTCCACTATGACATATAGTTATAATTACTATTGGCAATATTTGCATTGCAATAGAAACAATAAGCTTAAATATCTTCTCTAAAAATAAAAATAAAAATAAAAATAAAGGAAAAGAATTTGATCACAATACAAAAAACCTTACAAAAATTAAGATCACACACATAATATATTTAATAAATAAATAAATAAGGAAAAAAACATCGAGATGATAAATAAATAAGGAAAATTTGAAAAAAAAAATCAAGATGATAAATAAATAAAATCCAAGGCTAATTACTGGTGGCTGATGTCAAAAGAAAAAGTATTCTGTTTGGGGCATACTCTCCTAAATGAACCAAACAAGGTAAAAGAAAACAAAAGCAAAAAAGGAATCAGTAATAAATGGTGTAAAGATTGGAAACCCATTTTGGCAGCAAGCTCTAAATAAAATGTTGCCACCAAACCCAAATTAGATTTTTATAGAATTAAGGTTTATGTATAAAGTGTTTGATATTGACATGATCTAAAACATGATCTTTTTTATGTTGATCTTAATGAGAGAGAACCATTAAATAAAAAGAATGATTATTATTAGGTTTCAATAAAAATTGGGTGATGAAAAGTCACACACAAACACAATTCTGAGTTCAAAAAGTATACAATAAAACTTATGAAGGAGGGAAGAAACGGTTGAGGTTAAAAGGGAGAGTGTAGAATTCCTCATTTCTGCTATCTCCTTTGAATGTTCTGAACTTAGCCCACCAAGGCAATCCCCTGTCTCTCGCGGTTTCTTTGTAATCGAGAGTGTTGTCCAAGAAGACCGAGATCATCAGCGCGACCATCGGTGATGACAAGAAGATCGTGTTCAAGAAATCATTGAACCAACCAGCATTGGTGTGTGCTGGACCATGCAATGCCTTCACAGAGAAGTCTCTGAAGTATTCGGGTATCGATAATCCTAAGAAGAGAGATACACCGGTGATGAAGAGGTTTCTCAGGGAGTTCATGTTTGTGAATTGCAGAAACGAGAGTCCAACGGAAGCTGTAACAAAGAAATAAGCTTTGTATTAGATCATCAAGTTTTTTTACTTAATGATCCTTATGAGAGATAAGGTAGAGGTACTAGTACTGACCAACAAGACCGAACAAAACGCAGTACACGGCTGCGAATATCGTGAAAGGTATCGAGGCAAACAATGCTCCAAACTTGCCTGCAAGAAAAGACAATAATTCTTATGAGAAAAGACATCTCAAAGAAGCTGCTTAATGGAGAAGATGTGGATTTGACCTAGCATTGAGAAGAATATCATGAATCCTGCTGAGATTTGAATAACTCTGCGGCTTCCAACTCGGGTGCTTCCTAGTAATCCAACGTTCTCACTACAGAATTGTAAGAAATCCTTATATGAGACAAATTGGTTTTCAATCAATTGGAAAAAAATGGTTTGAAATCATTCACACTTCTTCAACTTACATAGAGACGCTTGAGCCGCTTAGCGTTCCAAATAAACCGTTTAAGAGAATTCCAATCCCTTGCCAACCAATTCCACGGCTAAGAACATGAGGTGGAGGAGGCGTGGCGCTCGCCAGTCGTGCTGCAGCTTTGAAAGCTCCAGTTGACTAATCACATTCAAAAGATTCCTCTTTTTAATTCTCCTTTTAGGATGTTTGATGCTGTGACTAGAACTAATCTTTATTCAGAGAGACATTACCTCAATAAGTGAGACAAAAACAGAAGCCATCATAGCGAAAGCATGACCAGCATCAAAGCTTGGTGCTCCCCATTGGAGAGGATAAGGAATCTTGATCCTAAAATAAGTCAACTGAAAACATTATTGAATGTTTTTAATACGCATTCTAAGACATATTTAGGACTGGAGAAACTAACCAAGGAGCAGAAGAGATGAGGTTAGACATATCAGTTCTGCAGTTTACTTGTGTTTGGTGTGGTCTGTGTTTGTAAGCCCCACTCGCTGTCAATATATGCGCGTAAGCCCACACAACGATTATCGCTATAAGCATAGCGAATCTCTCCACTACAGGGAATTTCCTGAACTGAACGTTCTTCAGATACTGCACAAGAACATACAGATTTATAAGATCACTCAAAGAAACTTATTCGGAATCGAAGAGAAATGGATCATCCCATAGGAAATAACCTGAGAGAAGATGACAAAGAGGATAAGCATGGGAATTCCTATCTCAACACAATTACCAACCTACAAACAAAAACACTATAAAATAAGAACCAAAGAGATGATTTTTTCCATCTTTAAAGAGCGAAATCGCAGTAAAATACCACTGGGAATCCTCTGTTGAAGAGTCCAAAACCCGTTAATGCGATAACAGGAACCATACCAACAGGACTGAAGAATCTGAAACATAAGTAAGATGAGGAATCATTAAAGTCTACACGTTTATATGATAAACAAGCAGTTGATATGTGCATACCTTGAACAGATTCCCCATATCTGGCTGAAACCGAGGATGATTTGAACGCTGGATGCAACGATGATTGCGCCTTGTACTGCTCTCATTGTACTGAGAAATCTCTACTCAAATTTACATATTCAAACATTGGAGTTAAGATCTTCAGACAGAAGCAAGCAAAATAATACCACACAAGGAGAATATAATAGCAAGCATACCAACTGTGGATCTTCGATACGGGTCAAAGAAGAATCGCGGGTGATCGAAATGATCGGAACCATGAATGCATAAGAGCCACCAATGACAGTTGGAAGACGGGTTCCAAATAATGTTTGAAGAAGAGTGTTAACACCTTGAATGAAGAGTAGTGTCTGAACAACTCTCACTTTATCACCCTAATCAAATACATCAAATCTCAATCAGGACAACAAATACACATAGAGATAGATTCTTCGGATAAAGAAAATGTAAAAACACAAAATGTTCACATCATCTCCACCCATCATAGGAACAAGAAACGAAGGTATCATCACTGCAGTTCCTAAAGCCAGAATGTAATGCTCGAAACCTAAAGCTATTGCTTCTCCTGTAATAA